AAATTACGGTAAAATATTTAATAGGACGTGGGCTAGCCGGGGATTATTGTTATTCGAGGTTGTTTCGCGGTTAACACCACATGAGTTCTTGTTAACAAAACCTCCGTATACCTGTTGCACGCCAACTGTTCACCTTAAAACAACCGAAAGTAGACACGGGTAAGACTAGGGAACGTTTGCCTCATCACACAGCGTTCCAGAAGCAAACGTAATGCCAGCTCTTAATGTTTAAAAAGTTCGTATGGCATTAGTCCTTTAAGACTTCAGATATTTGCAACCATCAAACATAAACGGATGGCTATTTCGCATGTGAAATTCCCGTTTTAGCGGTTCCAGATGGGTTAGACATTTTCCATTTTGTCGCCCGTCAGTTCGCCTGCAGTTCTGGTGAAATTAGCACGGCTCTTCTTCAGTCAACAAATGACTAAGACACAAACACAAGTTGCACGCCAGTCAACCAGTATAATTTCACCGCACTCGTTCGTAACATTAGGCCGCATTTTCGGCTACTCGCTAGTTTGTAAGTAATAAACCGCGCACATAACTTTTCAAGTGAGATGCTAGCTCGAAAATATCTAACCTATTCCTATTGTTCTGTTAACTTGTTTTATGGTGTCCGCTACCATTTCGGTGCTCAGGGCAATTGTTTTGCAGGGTGCCTAATTCCGCTTCCGTTATGACCAGCTGATCCATGTAAGGCATACAAGCAATGTGTTCTTCTAAGATTGCTGAAAAAATCCAATTTGCTATAAATTCTCTTTCTCGAACCTTTAGATTTCAGAATAACTAACAGGATTCAGGCAGTTTAATCAGACAAGTAAAAACCATCTTCGTCAAAGTAGGAGAATTTCCGCCAGTCAAGAATGAATTTGACAAATTACCCCTCGGTAACTCACAAGGTGTTATATTTACGTGTCAAGAGACGTCTGCAACCCATGACTCGTGATATCTCCTGGTCACGAAGTCACATTTGCGTTTCGTTTGACGGCTATCGGGAGAAAATACTGTGCTAGCGCTTGAGGAGTTTAAAAGCGCAAAACTGAGGGACACGTGACTGACACATGAAAATTTTGAAAGCTTTCACACGAACGAATGACAGCACCAGGAAATACAAGTGGGGGGATTATTCTAGTAAAGCGACATATCAAGAAGCTTTGCTCACGCGACGATCCTCTGTGCTTGTTCCGCCTGTTGTGTCTATATATTCCTGTACTGTTGGTCTTTGTGTCACCTGATCCTCCAATCCACAATAATTTACTGCACACAGGGAACTGTGTACCAAAGTGTGAGGGAATTTGCAGCGATAAAACATAAATCAAGTGCTACTTCAAATTCTCTTGTGGTATTTGAAGGCCTGGAGTTACCATACTTACTGAATTATTTTCAGTAGCCTAAGAAGCTATTCATTTTTTTGCGATCGCAGCATGTCCAGTCAACCTTTGTTGGTGTGTTTTAGAAGAGCGATCAAAATACAACCGCAATTCTGTCTAACACACTTGAAATGGATTGATATCAAGGCTTGGAGTGCTATCTTAATTTTGGTTCATCCTGAAAACGTCCCAAATAACTCCGTACATTGCAGCCCACCTGAAAATTAGTCACATTTGCCGTACACTTCGTATAGCCTGAATGCATGCCATAAGACCCACCGTTCAAAACTTTAGCACTCTGTATTGGAAATTAAATATTCTATCCTAAATAAGAGACGAAAGTCACGCTGGTGAAAATAACTTGGATAAAACAGCACACTGTGTAAGCGCCTTCAGGGTCCTTCGTTTTTTTTGGTTCTAGGAAAAAAGTAGATCGCACTACACTGTCATTCTTCAACATCAAGGTTATCAGATGCAAATGGTGCGGGCAAAAACTCCAAGGTATTCGTGACATTTAAATCATAGTTAAAGGAGTGGTCGTTCAGGGTCTTAACAACCTCGTCATTCCTGCTAATTAAGACGCAATCAGCAACACTGGTTTTATTCCCGAGAACATTGTTTTGTTTTTCACAATACAGGTACATCTATTGTATTGCATGTTATAGAGGATCACTACTGATGCAGTGTCACTTGCCAAATAATTTGAACTGGTCTTTCTGTGCATACCGTCGACTTCGACGTTGGTTAGGTATTCTGTATAGAAAGAATGAGTGACAGGCAGTCCCTGAAGTCATCCCGACGTGATTTTAAGGGAGTTGGAGCAGCTGAGACAATATTGGCTTTTGATTTACAGGAAAAGTGCCAATGACCAATAAATGACTTGGGATTTGCGCCCAGCGGGAAGGCGAAGGTGGTTCACACACTGTCGAGAACGGTGCAGCGCAAAAGCCTTTGGGGCCGACGTAAGATAGAGGGATAATGATTGGTGGACGAACATGTGCGATCCCACTGGACCACTGCTACCCGAACACAAGCTCATGACGACAGAAACCGGTGCAGTTACAAGCTTATCACTAAGATACCATCAGCATACGTCAGTTCCCCTAGGTTTCAACGTAACACCGTCTCAATACAGCACCATGCAAGCGTTACCGTGGATCAGCAATTATCACTGGTTCAAAATGGCACTAACTAATTTGGCGGTATTCTTTTTCAACGCTGCGTTCAATCATGTGACTAGACAAAGGGTGTGCCAAACGAAATAATCTAACGTTTCGTTTATCTTCCAATTCATTTAGCATAACCGCCGCATAGATATCAGCATTATAGTCATACTACCCGAGCCTAGATGAACACCAAACCGAGTCCATATCTCGGCTGCTTGTTTATCCCTCTTCCGTTTTTATCTCATCTTCCATCTTTAAAAGATATTGTATTTTAGACAGCTCATATGATTTGCTCTCCACTTTCAGATCTGCAAATGACCGGACTTAATACTTTGCGGGTTTTTAGCTCACTGTAATGCAAGAAGTGCGTTTTTGTGACCATTGCGCCCCATAGTAAACAAATCACAACTTTAATAGCTAGTAAAGCGTGTGCTTTGTATTACTGGTACCGTCAACCACCGTGATGCATAAATCGACAGTTGTGAACTTTCGGCTTTTTCGGCATGATTTTTCGATAACGACCCTTCAGTTTGATATGTTGATTGCGTCAGAACTATCCATTTTGGTTTCCTTGAGTTTGTTTCGAGTATTGGGTGGGGTGCTAGTTTAGCATGTGGCCCAATTAGTTCTGCGACACAAATTAGGAGACGGCTTCTAGGTTATTAGGATGTACTAAGCTAAGTTTGATGCCTGATCGGGGATGACTTTGAAGCATCATGGATGACTTTTGAAGCATCTTTATCAGAATGTAGAGTAAACCATGTTTCTCCGGCATGTAGACCATTGATCAGGGTCTGGGCATCTATGATAACCCATCTACATCAGTGTGGCGCCTTTTTTCTTTCGGGTATTATCCACCGGAATGCGTCAAATTTTGTGGATTCCCACGTTTCAAACTTTATAAACCTGAACTATATACGTCTGCGATTCGTGCAAGAAATAAAATATATACAGTTCGAAAACTATTTCCCGCTGCTGCCTGATCAGTTGCGATCAAGCACTTCTCCGATAAATGAGCAACCACTGATGTGGATTTCGGGTCTTCTTAAATTGTCATGCGTGAACTCTTGAGGGCGCGGACTCACCGAGAAAATAAGGTAACCGAAGAAATGTGAACTTCTTTCTCACTGACACAACATTGTCACACAGTAAGACGATCAGAGATGGTTTTTTGTAGAAAAGCATAAACTACAACGACTGGTTAAATGCATATCACGGAGCACAAGTTGTCAGAATGTAGGTCTATTCTGAGATACTCAGAACCACCATTGTTAGGTTCGTAAAACGTATGATTCCTATAGTCTGTAAATAATCAGGACAAGCTGAATCAGGTCAAACCATTCGTATGCAACATCTGAACAACAGGGGTGCACGGAGACATGATGCTGAAGTTTATTTCAACCAGTAGCTGTTTGCACGAAAGTTGACTCAGAAATTCAAATTAGGCAATAATGACTGACCTCTTACAGTTCGGGGACGCAATACGTACACTTGCCTTCTGGACGCACATATTGATCTTCATCTGCTCTGTGAAATATGTAACTGAACTTCTTTTTTGAGGACAGGTTATTAAGGACTAATTCCTAGATTGTCTCGTGGATGATAGCTTAAAGACAAAAATCGTCAAGAAGAACGAATTCGTTATTAGTTAGTTTCGTCCGATGACTGCAGAGTTCCCACTGACGGGCTTTCCTCCCTTCTGTAAAAAGTGTTGCGTAATATTACTGAGTTGGTAGACGATATCCCACAAACGGTTGAACACACATAGGCATGTTATGTTTTAAGGTTGAAAAATCGAGTTCAAATTTACGCATTCCGACTTGGTTTATATTAGAAAAAATTATTCTTGTGTGTACACCAGAACATCGGTCGTTGTGGCTCATATGATATGACCTGGCTATTCCTTTGCGTACGATTGAAACATTAGAGTATTGCTGGTTGGTTTCGATTAAATTCGAATGGCTAGTGCAAGCCATGTTTCTGTTACGGAAAAATTCATCCGGGAAGCTTTCCGATCCAAATTTTTGGCTCTGTGTCCTGAAGGCATTCGATGATCCCAGATTGCCATTCAGATATGATAATCGGACTGTCTGTTACCACTCAGACGATTATCAGTGTGATTCAGTAGCTCTTTGACAAGAATGTTCTGTGATTCTTTAATGGAAACAGGTTCGTTAAATACATGAACCTCAAACGCAATTTAATGAGTCTGGACACAGATGGATCATTAATAAAAAACGGTTTCAGTACATTTTGGATCTTTGATTGATGCATACAGCAAAATATACTTCTCATATAGATAATTTCAGTAAGGCCATATGTATAAAAAGCTTTGCCTCTTTGGTTAGATCTCCCGACTAGATATGAGAGGTGGTCGAGGAGTCAAATAGGAAGAGAACCGTTTCGTTCAAGCAGACAATTTAGTTAAAAGCGTAGAACTTCTAGTTATTGAGGAAACTTTATGAGAGGATGCTGAAGGGACTTTTAACGGTGCGTTGTGAAGTGTGTTGAGAATTTCAATGAATGCGGTTTAGCAATTGAAACACATGAACATACAGTCGACGGAAAAAGTTCTCAATGGTTTTCTATAAAGGAAAATGTTGGTAGCTCAGGTAGCGTAGATGGTCGTTGGCTAGTTCTTTGAGCTGTAGGGGATGCCAAGCTCAAAGTCACGTGGGTATCGACGATTGAGGACACATAATAATAGAGCAACCAATGGAACCGCCCGACCGAACAACTAATCACGATCAAAGGTCATCCACGGTTAACAGCACCCATATTAACCCACAGGTAACACTACTCAACGCACCACCATTAACCCACAGCTACGCACCACTACGGTGCCCTATAACGCACTGATGATGTCACTCCGATTGGTGGTGAAACGTTTGCAATCGAATTGCGCAGCTCAGCGAACAAGCCAGTTCTCTATGGTATTTAAAAGCCGTTTGTAGCCTGAGTCCCCATATATGGCGCTATAATAATCTTGACTACACTTGAGACACCCACCACTATAAAGTCTTTAACACTCCAGTTTAGAAAGGTTTACCTCACACTCATCCTATCCTGGTAAGCTGACATGAATTCCATTCCTAATAAAGCGTTCCAATGAAATAACTGGTTCATTTTTATGTTTGGCGAATTCGACAGGAAACAGATCAATGATAGTGTAACTAACTCCAAAAGTGCGCATAACGCCCGCTGGATAAAAACTGTTTAAAATGGGAGATGTTATGGAGCCTCATTGTTGGATCCAGTCTCTTATTCGGAAAACATGAGTAAGTTTCTGGGTTATAGTTAAAACATTCGGAAGCTGAGAGCTTTTCCTACTGTTCAGCTTACTCATGAAACAATTAAGGTTTCGAGTAACCTTCGGATGGAGCCAGAGGTCATTCTGTTGCCGAACTGGATGATCAGTTCGAATGCAGCCCTGAAAATGTGATTGAGATGCGACAGATTTGAGCCTTCTCATACATAATCATCGGTATATTGACAAGAACATCGCCTTTGATAAGATCAGTGCACTATTTGTGGAAACTCAACTATGAAAAGCCCTACTAGATATGAAGTATCCGGGAAGAAAGCGAAATTTTGGCGTTTAAAAATATGGTGCAAACTTTCTTAAAGTCAGACCGCATGTGGTCAAATGGAACACCTGTAAACGGCACTTCTCCGGCCAGAAGAGTGTTACCAACCGAAAAGTAGATGACACCTATTGCCAATCCAGAATCTTTCTTTCTGCTCACAAACATCCAATAAACATACAAAAAATTATACTATGCTTGTCCTGCGCAGTTTTTACTCAATTCAAAATACGACCTTGAAACAAACCAAAGAAAGAGAAGTACAGTGCTGCTTTGGGGCAACACACAGAATTTAGCTCTGTCAGCTCCCTTTCGGTGTAATCACTTTTGCACGCTGAGAGCTAGATGACAGGAAGTTCTGTTGTTGGCCTCTGTGAGCAACCGTCCGTTGTCGAACAATCCACGTCCCTGAATGCAGTGCTTAATTAGGTGTGGTTTTGTCTGCTGCCAACTAATCCCAGTGTGCAGATTTGCATCATAAAGTCAGAACGCTTTACAAGAGCTTTCGTACTGAAACTGTCCTCTTCATTGACAACACGGGGCATGGTTCTCTGAGTCAGTGCTTAAATCCATTTAAGCCAAATTCGAGGAATAGTGGAACTATGCGTTCACCAAATTATATGCACTAAATCGCAGGCTGTTTACTGTAGAGAGCTATTCAGCTAATAATCAGAGAGGCATTAAAATGAAACTACTGAATAAGAATGTATTTATTAAAACCATCAAATCTGATTCGAAGTTATACATTCCATCCTTGCCTGAAATGGAGACGCGCGAAAAGATTAATTTCATGTAAAATTGAAAACTACATCTTTGTAAAATTATGATAAAAAACGTGAGATGGTGTTCATGCTGAGTTATAGGCCAATTCCACCATTGGACAAATGTTAGAATGTTACTAAACGGAGCTCACTTTTCTTTGGGTATCCAGTTTTTAGTCTGGAATTTACACACCGTTAAGGACAAAATTAGTAATTGTAAGATGAACTGAATTTCATGCAAGTCGCTCACATCAATTAATTCTGTCGGTGATGAAAGATAAAATTCACGAACATATACATCGTACTAGATTTTCTTTGGTCTAACCCATCATTCTTAGGGGGTCGTCATCTCTCTATTAGATTTGGGCATCTTTTAAGTGACACAAAATTATCATGAAACTAGTACTGACCATCAAAAATGACATATTTACTGCATGCTTCGTCGAATCAAAGATTACTTGCAAACAACATTACATATGAGGAATTTCCTACGTTAGACAAAACTCAGTGAAGCGGTTTAACAGGGAAATATGTTGACGAACTTACTTCGGCTTGCTTAGCTGTTTGATTTGATGAGGGCATTTGAAGAGGATCGGTATGATATACTGTAAATTTACATAATATAAAATAATGGATACATTGATGGTGCCTGTGAATGGGCCTTCCATTTGAGTTCGGACGCATTCATATTGTGATAGACGATGAAAATGTTGAGTTATTCAATCTTCACGTAGCCGTTTTAATTTGGACGAATTAAGCTTGACGTGGGAGACCCGAAGAAATCCAGTTAAGTCATGAGAACGAAGAAGGTAGCGAATAAAATTTTGTTTTCTGTGATTGTTCATTTTGGCTAGTACATCACAAATTCATATGGTAGCAGGAATCACGCGGAAAAGGTTAAGATCGGGGTAACATACACTTTAGAGAAATAGAAGTCAAAGGAAGGGGGGTTGGGTGAGGGGTAGGTCAATGGGTCACGGAGTCAAGTAAGTGACGTCAATGTCAGACAGACTTGTGGGACCAGATGTTTCGTGGGCCAGTTCAAGTTCAGAGGTCGCACAAGTTTCTTTTGAATGCAAAGTTGTGGATCCAGCAGTCGGATTCACATCGCCTCTGCGATCGATGGTAGCCTGGATCGTACCAGTATGTAGCCCCGATCTTAACCTTTTCCGCGTGATTCCTGCTACCATATGAATTTGTGATGTACTAGCCAAAATGAACAATCACAGAAAACAAACTTTTATTCGCTAACTTCTGCGTTCTCATGACTACAACGGGTATATTCAGCCGCTTGAGACAATCCAAAAAATCCAGCTAAGTTTGCAACTGAGGAGAAACAATGCACTGGCAATATCACGGAAGGTATTTAAATTTAACGCCCCATCCAGAAGATTTTTGCTGTTGTGTGTCGTTCTGCATTGTCTACTTTGTTGTGGCTAGTTACCAAGTATGTAGAAAGAATACCTTTGCTAAAAAAGTGTTTGTCACTACCCTACAATTTGAACGTTTCTGAGCCACATTCATCGTCGGATAATAATTACTTTAAGGCTCCAAAATTTGCTTTCGAGAGTCATGGATTTCAAGAGTGAAGTCAGCTGTCTTCAGTGCTTGTACCACTAGGAGCTGCGTAGAAGTTATTTTGGTTGACTACAGTATTATTTCCGTAGTAGGTTATATCATGTGATGGGAAATGGAGGTGATCCGTAGCAGTTTATGGATCCGCAGCTTTCTCTTGCCACCGAAAGTAGGAGCTTAAGTGGTTCAAAATGAAAAATACTCAGTCTGTACTTCTATGTCAGTGTAGTCGTTACTCTTCTCTCAATTATATGGCTGCCTAACTGACCCAGCCTATTCCGTGGGCGGAAATCCAGTCCAAATCATGTGGACACTCTCCTACACATTTTATGTGCCTTCGATATCTACATTGAACCGTAAACTCTGAGGGCAAAACAACCGAACGGTTCACTGAGGATCGGTAAAACGCTTTATTTAGTAAGGAACTATGGAATTATTCGCGTAAATTGAAATACGCAGATTTCATTTATGCTATGGCTTGGTCCGAATAGAGTCCTGCAATCTTTCGACACGCAACTGGTGTGTTACATGGTAAGTTCAAAGATGGCCACAAATTCAATGACCGAAAATCAGGTGGGATGAGTTTGGCTATCCTCGATAGTGTAAGTTTAACTGCAACGGGGAAGATAAAAAAGTGAGCGGCCTAAAGCGCATCACGCACAAAAATCTGAGTTTTTATTAACTGCATTTCCACAAGTGTGAAGAAATGTAACTTACCCTTCCATTGTTTGGAAATTTCACGACATTCTTCAAGGAAGGAAAATGACAGCCCGGAGTCATCAGACGTTCAACTCAACAAAATAACTTAAACCTTAGCTAACAAGTAGGGTATATTAAAACCATGCACGAGAATACCGCATAATTGTTGGTCGCGCGAGATATTCCAGGATATTTGCAGCTTCGTAAGAATTATAAACTTTCACCAGGTATTGATGGTGTGAAAAATATTGGCTCACCGTGATGTTTTTCCTTCAATAAACAATATTCTGTAGGAAAAAGGAAAATCATTGACAGTTATCACTTTCACAGCAAAAAGGCTATTCCTGAGCGAACCACTAGCGAGCTCCTTCACGGTTCAAAAGAGGCCCACATGTAGATACAAGAAAGAAGATTTGTTGTCGGGTATTGGGGAAGTAATGCAAGACTCTGTGCAACAAGTGCGGCCAATGAGGAAAATCTCCCTACATAATATGAATGAAAGAATACCTTACTACCGTTTGTTTGCTATTGGAAGCGGAGATTTCCGGTTTGAAAATGGACGTTCGTATGAAATGCCAAGTAAACATGCTGTGAAAATCATGCTGTGTCGAATTAAACCACCGTTATCAGATGGTCATCGGGCAAATCTGCTTACACAGTTCTTGCGCACTGTCTTTATTAAAATGCCCAAATATACCAGAAGGCACTGTCAGAACGATCAGTTGTGTTGTTTTGTGTGTGATCCTTAGACTATTTACAAAACAACTTACATGAACACAGTAACTTATGGAGGATTCATTTAAAAATCGAGAAGAATAAAACTTGGCTTCTGACAGTGCGTTGTGTGGTGGCCACCTTACGAAACTTGAGTAGCAAAGGATATTGTAGCGGTATCATTTCACCATTCAACGCCTGTGATCGAAAGGAGTTGCGAACCAAAACGGATTCTAATTTACGCAACGACTGTCACCTAACATGTAAACTGATTCGGTCACGTGTCTGTATTTGCTTAGCCACACGGGATGAAAGAATCAAAACAACTTGAAAGAAAACGCCTTCAAAGCGGAAATGTCTAATAGATTGCATAGATGCAGGTTTTATCAAGATCAGACACTTACGGAGACATTCGTTGCCTGCAAAACATGATACCCCAGTTCGGATGTCCCCAACTGAAACAGACAAAAAGTGGCTCAACTTTTACATCAAAATTGCTTAATTTAGTTGGAACATCTCGTTTAGTTGTGCTGAATGCCCGCGCAACTTTTCACGTAGCTCAGGGTGCTAAAAAAACCTAAGAGGCTGAAAAACTATTCTCTTGTTGAGGAAATGACCCTGGTTGCTGCAACATTAATGCATTAAATCAGACCCTTTAAAGTTTGTTAGAGCATGTGCTAAATTTTGGTTGACACTAGCAATCTTTACCGACGCAAAAACAAGCATTCCACTATGAACGTTGTTTAAGCTCTAGACTAATTATCTTATTTTGGCGTTCTTGTATTATTTCGTTTCAAGCTCGTACGGTGCACGTTGAACAGTTACTGAGAGCATTCCTGCCAGAACGGTAAAACACATTATAGAGAAATGTTGCTGTTACT